TGTAAAAAAATTGTGCATTGTTGATTTTCATCGTATTTTTTCTACTCTGGGATATAGAATATTTTAACTTTTCAGCATTACGAATTTAATTTTACACAAATATCACTGATGCTAGCAACAATCCTTAAAAATTTAACATGGTGTTACTAACATTGATTATTTCTTATAACTGCAAGGGTATACAAACTTCGGCTTGCCGAAGCTAACTTCCTTTATTGTTTTAAGTAAAAGAATATCATTAACAAGTTTGTCATCGACTAAAGTAAATAAACTATTAAAGGCCCTAACAATGTTGAATTTCCAATGTCTAACTACATAAACTTTTTTTAAATTCTTAGAAAAATTGTTTCACTAATTAAGAACGGGATACCAAGTAACCAAGACCACGTGGCCTTGCCAACGGATATATATATGTATATATTGATCTTAATGCTATGACAATGGCTCATATATAAGTATTACAACAATAGTAATCATAGCTCCTATTTTTAAATCAAAAACTTCTGATAACAAATAAAAACATCTCTGAACGGGGTAAGGGGTCGGGTCGATCGCACCTTCAACATACAAATGTTCCAATAACAAATTTTTTTACGTTAAATATTGTAAATTCGACTAAATGAATAAATCCCCTTCAGTTCTGCAGAAGGGACGCTGTGACATGGCTCAAGGCAAAAAGCTTTTTTGTTTTTTTTTGTGCCTTAATCGCTGTGCCGCTGTTGACGTCAGCAGAGAAGTCGGCGCAGCGTAGAAGACTGCCTACGAAAACGATCGTGCAAAAAAGAGAGGCAGATATTCGGAGCTTCCCTCTCTTTCTTTGTTTTATAATCTGCCTGCACTCGGCGCTCTTAGAGACAAATTTCGGCAGGTCCGTTGTTTCTTTTGGGTCTCTCTGTTATGTTCGGCTGGCGACTAATGTTTCGGCGGAAAAATTTTCGTGGCGCAGCGACATGTGAAGGCCCTAATATTTTAGGAGCATTATTGTATATCGAAAAAAACAACTAATATTGTTTTATAAAAGTAAATTATTTGATTATAGTAAAATAAAGTAAATTGAATTTAATTTAAATATTATGCTTACGTATTATAAATTAATATTACAATATAATTTTTTAGTAAAGTTATAGAAATTTAGTGCGTTAAAATATATTTAAATATTTAAAACATTTTAATAGTACCATTTTAAAAAAATTCATTTTGTATTTTTTACTCAAAAAGTAAAAATTATGTAGTCGGATATTTTTCGGTTTAGAAAGGGTATAGGTCCAGTGGCACGCGCCAACTGCGAAGAGAAAACAAAAGAAATCAAGTAAAGGGGTGAGAGGAAGACTTGGTTCATTCTGTTTGAGTTATTGAAAGGGAAGCAAGCCCTTTAAATTGTGCGCGGCAGATTTACTTCTTTCGTTTTTTAAAGTGAAAATAATAAAGTCAGGTAAGTGTTTCATTAAGTTGAAGATGTTGTGAATTGATCTTAGTTGAAAGTATTAAGGTATTCAATGGGTTTCGTAAGCCCAAAGTGGATTATGAAATGTTTTGCGCCAATATAAAATCCTGCAAAGGGTGAAAAACAGCTTTAAAAGGTAAATATAAACAAATAAAACGCATTTTTTTAACATATGCCCATGAATTTTTTCAGGAGCGTTGGCCAAGGATTCGGAGAACCCGGACAAACGTTTAAGGAAGGCGATGACCAATTTGAAAAGCAAATTAACGTAACATTAAACTAGGCTTACTAACAATAATTGTCCTTTAACAGAAAACATAAATAACACTATTTAATAAAAATGAATTTAAAAGTAAATAATAATGTATGTATTTTAAATTTTTTATTTTCTTTAGTGAAAACTCATTGGAAATATTCTGAATTTCACAAGTGATTTCACCTGGGACGTGTCACTTCCAAGTGATTTCATAAGTGAACAGTCAATGGAAATATTTTGATTTTCACAAGTGATTTCACGTGGGACGTATTACCGGCACGTGACAGGCCATACGAAAAATGAGCATAAGGAACAAGTGAAATCCCGTGGGACTTCATTTGAATTTTCACTTGTGAAAATGCGGACATCCCATACAATTTTCTATATGGAGCGTCACTTGTTCTTCACTTGTGCAAGAGGACAGGTCCCACGGGATTCATAAGTGAAACTTTTTTTTTGGAACTGAAGGGTTTGGATCAAGGTGCCACGAAGCTTAGATTCGAAAATGATTTTTGGATCCAACAGGACAGCGATCCTAAGCATTGTGGTAACAAGACAAAGCCTTTTATGTGTAAGTCCAGCTACATTTTTCAGCGGAAATCCAGATCTCAATGCCCTGGAGCGCAGGATCAGCCTCCACAACATTACCTCGGGAGGATAAGCTGAAAAAAGTCATTGTGGAATAATGGAATTAATTTAATCTACGGACAATTCTAAGCAATGTTGCCAAAGAAACTATGCCTTGAAAATCGGGTTCGACATGTGTACATGTGCTGCAACACATCTACCTACGCACAGTGTGCGTTTACCGTTTCCAACAAGGTCGGACGTGTCGCGAACCAAAATGCAATAAGATCATTTGCATAAGTAGTTAGTATAGTAAAAACTTAAGAATTTAAAGATATAATTTAAAAAAATGGTTTTTTAATCTTCGCTGTCTTACAAATGGATACTGAAAATAGAAACAGTTGGAGACTTTATTAAAAAGTTACAACTTGGAGGCAATTACCGAAAATCTAAAATGTCAGCTTTATAAGGTGTTTTATATTATTATTACTATTATTATGGTTATAAGCATTATTATATTATCATAGTAAAGAATTCTAATTTTAATCAGATTACAATCAGATTAATTTTTTAAATTTATTTGTATGTGTTCCCAGTGAAATAGACGTTTCCTACCCCATAAAGCATCAATATTCTTGATTAGCATCACTATAAGTCTCTAGTTATGTCCGTCTGTCCGTATAAACGCTGAGATCTCGGAAACCATAGAAGCTATAATGTTGGGACTTGGAGTACGGATTTTTGGGCTCCTGAGCAGCGCAAGTTTCTTTGAGTATGGTGCCACGCCCACTCTAACGCCCACACACGTCTATAACGCTAAAGTCTGATGCTGATCAAAAATGTCGCTGCCATAGGAACGATTGGATAATTAATGTCAAAATAATACATGGACCGATATATTTTGTTTTCGGTAAACATACACTGCAAGGATATGGTAACCTCGGAGTGCCGAAGATACGATATTCGATTAACCGCCCACAAACTTCAAAAAATCGTAAATATGAACGCGGATATCTCGGAAACTATCGAAGATAGGGAATTGAGATTTCAGATTTAGATCCCCAAGCCTTGAGCGCAGCGCAAGTTTGTTACGCGACTCTAACGCCCACAAGCCTCTTAAACCTGTGGCGCCCACAATTTTTTTGCTAGATAGCAAATTTTAACTGAAATGTAATAGTCTTGTCCATACCTATCGATTGATCTAAAAAAAGTTTGCCACGCCCACTCTAACGCTCACATAACCATGTATTGAGATCAGGGGTAGGTGGCGCATTTCAGTCTCGCTTTGCTGCTTGCATATCTCCATTTCCCTTCTGTCCCATTAGCTGAGTAACGGGTATCTGATAGTCGAGGTACTCGACAAACTTTTTTTTGGGTCAATCGATAGGTGTTGATGAGAAAAATTCAGTTTAGTTAAAGTTTTTATTCTAGCATCAAAACTGAAAACAGCAATAATTTGTTTCATATTATTTTCCCACCAATTTTCCGAACGTTCCTATGGCACCTATATGATATAGTTGTCCGATTTTGATAAAATTTAATTCGAAATTCAAAACTAATTAAAAAATGTTATTCCCAAGCTTAGGAGGTTATTTGTTAAAAAACACAAACGATATAATTTTTGTTAAATTTTTTTTCTTATTATTCCTATGGGAGCTATACGATTTAGTTGTCCGATCCGGCTGGTTCCGACTAATATACTACCTGCAAAAGAAATAAGACTTTTGGAAAAGTTTCAGCCTGATAGCTTCAAAACTGAGAGACTAGTTTGCGTAGAATCGAACGGACAGACAGACATGGCTAGATCGACTCGTCTAGTGATGCTGACGTCTCGTTCCCTGCGTTGCAAACTTCTGACTGAAATCATAATACCCTCTGCAAGGGTATAAAAGACTCGTCAAAGACCAATGTCTAATAAAGATTGTCGAACACTATGAAGACATTTTATCAAATGTCACATTGACAGAAATGAATTCATAACTTCTTCAATTGCTGGCGTTATCGGTATCTTCATTTTAAACGGCTTGCATCTTAAACTAGCCGTTTAGCCGCTAGGGTCACAAACTTTCTTGCCCCTTAACTATCATTACCCCAATCTATCCTATTCTTTAAAGACAAAATATTTGTGTATTCCACTTTAATACTTGCATAGATCCCATTCCCCAGATATCTGCTCGATTTTGTGACACTATATAGGGTTATATTTTCACCCACTGGTGGAGAATGCAAATTGTTTCAGTCCCGCCGCTCAGCAGCGAAGTATTTCACAAAATTGCTGACGCATTATTTTCCGAGTTTTATTGCGCTAAGTGACGCCGAAATGGGTTCCCGGATCAGAGGGGTAGGTCTGGAAAAATTATGAGGAAGGGGCTGTCAACAAATATTAATGTACTGGTAAGCGGAAAGAGAGCGGGGTACGCCTGCAAAATCTGTTTCAATTAAAAATTTTGCCAAAAGCTGGTGCCAGCGGCAATGCAGCGAAAATGAGTGCATACAACTTTAAAGAAGAGTCGCCCTGTAACGACCATATGCGTTCTCGCTGCACCACCACCAGATTCCTTCCCTTCTTCTGACAGAAAGCGGGCTGGCCATTTGGAACCCCTCAAGGAATTCTTGGATGGCAAGTGCAAGTAGGGGGTCTAGAAAAATGTCCCCCAAAGATGGTAAGTGGCGAGGGAAAGCCACCAAAACCTGCTGAGAGCTCTCGACTGAACTTCAAGCTGCTCCTCTCACCTTGTGCAGAATCCCACGATGCGGAGCACGTTCCAAAAGTCATCGAAGTCCTCCTCCGCCGTGGGATAGAAGTGGTACCACAGCTCGAACACGTGGTACGGGAAGAAGCATATGAAGAACACTGAAAAGACAACCCAAAGCCAATTATAGTGTCCGTGGGTCTTAGGGACTCGGGATGCAGGATGCAGGGTGCGGGATGTGGTAAGTCGGATGGCGGAATACAGATCGGGGAATGCGATGACTTACCCACCACAAAAGCCACCACCATGCGGGCCACATGACGACGTGCTCTGGCCTGTGTACGGCTCTGCATGCTCTGCTGCTCCCCGGGCATGTTGCGGGCACTCATGTGTAGCCGGTTGGCCATCATGATGTAGAGTGCTCCGATGATGGACAGCGGCAACAGGTAATATATAAGCGCCTTGGCCGCTACCATGAACCTGGAAGAGAGTCATTAAACATGGTCCCTTTTGACTTGAGCAAGACTGATAAGGTCGTCGCAGGGATTGAAGGACGTTTATTCAATTTCCCCTCAAAGAGGATTTTGACAGTTTTTTAAATACTAGACAGGCATGACTATTCATAGTTTGTCTGACCAAATGGGCGACATTAAATTGCGCTTCTGCGAGGGGACCATAAAAGCGAGTATATAACTAAAGCGTTCGGCAAGCTTTTAATGAAATCTAGCGAAATAGCGAACAGTTAAGGGGCGACCTCCGCTATTCAGGATCTGTGTAAATTACATTACAAGCAGATTATGTGGCAACAGCTGACGCCAGCCGCACGAAAGGATTTCCAACATGCGCTACATGAGCTACATTGATGGGAAAATGAATTAGGTTCAACTTGCCGGTGTTTGCGAGCTTAAGCAGAGAGAGGGACCGGTTGAAAGGAGCTGCATCACGTGGTGGGAAAGACAGCTTGAGGGTATAAGGGCCTTTATGATTAATGCCGACTGACGGCAAGTGAGGCCCATTCGCAGAACCAGCGAATCTTGCAGTTGCTATAAATTTGGAATGCGAAATTCGTTTGCACCGATTAAGCCTCGTTGGCCAACATTTTGACCAGCATCTTTTGCGTGGTTCCTGGACCATAGTGGCGCCCATGGTTCCCTAGTACCGGGATCAACTTACTTCGCATACTCCGGGTCGCGGAATGGGGAGCACACTTCAATGGTAATGTTGCCCATGGCCGTAAACACGGGGTAGGACTTGATGTCGGAGAAGAGGACGGAGGGCATGCCCAGTAAGATGGCCAAGATCCAGATGATCACCGCTGTGAACACGGTAAGTGGCTTGGTCTGTGGGAAGGGAGAAAGGCGGTTATTTCACCCGAGAATGTCAGTCGTCTCATCACTCACCTGCAGCTTGCGTAGGGGATTCACAATGGCGCAGTACCGCTCCCCGGACAGAGCGGTCAGTGTGAACACCGACACTCCTATGGATATGTCCTTGAAGAACTCGCTAATGCGACACATGTTCCGATCAAAGGGCCAGCTCTCCTGCGTGTATACGATTGTGGCCACGGGCACGCACACCAGTATAACCAGCAGATCTGCCAGGGCCAGGGACAGAATGTAGCTGTAAGTATGTAGAGTTGGTAAGGGATTATCCTCCCTGCCTCTCACCCGGTTAGATGTGCGCTCACTTGGAACTCTCGTCGGCCTGGAATGCCTTTATTATTGCCAAGTGACAATTAAAGAACGTTCGCAAAGGACCTAAAGAGCACATTCCTACTTACACGCCGCCCAACCCATTTCAAAAACGGGTACTGTTCGAGGAAAGTTAAAGGGGACGATTTGGAGCGAATCGGCTTGACATTGACACACCAACGACTCTTGTGAACCAGCTAGGGCAAGCACTGGAGCCCTAGAACGGGGAAATTTTGAGAGCTACTGGATTTAACTAACTGCAAGTGAGTGAATTTCAACCGGACACGTTCCCAGCCATCGTGCCTAGACAAACGGGCGCGACCAAGTCGGCGAGCAAACTGCTAACTTTGCCATCAATGGCAGGACTATTACGTTAGCAATTACAATAACTGCCACAAATACTGATTCATTGCAATCAGCCAGTTCGAAGAAGAGTGTAGAATGTGATAATTTGCGGGCAATCAGTGCGAAAACACGGCCACCTGCAGCGAGTTGTTGAGGGAGAGTTTCAATATAATGGCAGCCGAACTGAGCGAAAGCCATCCTCAACTGCTCAACCCATTTGCCTCCTGGCCCAGAAACTTTTGATGGAATCCATACTTGAATTATTTGAAATTTGCCACTTACAAGACGGCACAACTTGGAAAAGTTAATAAACATTTATATAGCAGACGGCCTCCTTCCAGAGTTCCGCCGCCAGCTGTCGGTTTGACTACGAATTGTAGTTTTCTTGTCAAAAAACAGAATAAAACAGGGACCGAAACAGCTTGCAGATTCCCTGGGCTGTATGCGAAATCGGATTTGTAAAGCAAAAATTGCGCATGAGGAGGCATACATTGCAAGTATTGAAATGTTTATGTATATAGGCAAATACTGAATCTTGCCAGTCGGGATAGGTAAGTACGCCTGCTAAGGGGTGGAATAGCGATCCTTGGTGAATGGAAATTGAATACATTTGAGCGTTAATTCAAACTTAAAGGACTGTCCGATATTGTTTGCGGACTAAACCACTTTATATTCGAGAATCGCAGCCAACGGATTGCTTGACATCTTTTTTGATGTTCGCTTCTGAGGAGTTAAAAGGCATTTTTAAATTCACCTATAAGGCTGGGGAAGGACGTGGATTGTGCTGGAACATTAAAATCAATGCCGACCACAAGACAACCCATGAGTTTTCAGTGGCAATTCCAGAAAACGTTCGCAGAGTGACGAGCACATTTAGGTCCAAATGGGCAGACTTATGAAAGCATTATTATTTATGAACCGGAGAGGGGGGGTCCCCGGGAGAACAGACCGTATCAAAGCGAAAGCCCACCAATAAATATTATTCCAGACCCCTACTCTGGTCCAGTGAAACCCACCCTCTGCGTGCCCCCAACTGGGCGCGTTGTATCCACTTACGTGTTGGGTATGTTGCGCATGGAGCGGTGGCGAAAGAAGATGATAACCAGCGTGCCGTTGCCCAAGACTCCCACGATGAAGATGAGTGTGTACAGTACGGTGACAATGTACGTCTCCGGGCGGTCCAGCACGGGCACATACGGCACCATTCCGTCGTCGGCGCTGGCGTTGTGGGCAACCCCGTGACCTTGCTCCTGCTCCGCAGCCTGACCACTTGCCAGGAGCCCGCTCTCATTGGCCCCGGCCCTGTCCACCAGGCCGGCTACCAGCGTCTGGCCCACGTCCACTAGGGCGGCGTACATGTTTGGGGGAGCCGCTCCCGGGTCTGATGTCTCAATGTCGATGTTTTTATGCGTGGCGTTTTATGGCCTCGCTATGGCCACTTCCGCTTCCGTGGATTGCTCCGTTCGGTGAAGGCCCAAAGCCGCAGGTCCTCGACCTGGTCCTCTGTGCTTATGTCGCTGCTGTTGCTGCTGGTGTTGCTGGAGTTGCCACGGGGCCGTGTTTTATTTTGCACATTGTGCTCGGCCGCGACCGCAGATCGACCGCTCCTGCAGCATGACTTTCTCCAGCTGGCGCCGAAAGCTGTTGGGGCAGAAAGTATAGAGAGAGTGGGTTCGTCAGTTCGAACTAATTCGGTTGCTGGCGGCCTGAACAGCTTTAAACGGTGAACAGCTTTAGACTAGCGAATTCCTTACCTACGAGGCGCATAAATAAAGCGCATACTCAGTGTGTGCATCGGGGTGCGCACATACACACAAACAAATTTGAGTTTTAAAATTGACTAATGCAGACAGTGTAGTAACTATTAATAAGTAGCGCCACCTATCTTCTTCTGCTACAGCGCCACTTGGCCTAGAGCGCCAACTAGCCTGCAACTTATTTGCTGCATGTGGTGTGCAGTCTCGATTGAATTGCAATATGTTGTTTATTATTGGGTTATAACTTTTTAATGAGTTGTCCGATTTCAATAATATTTTGCGTGTAGATAGAAATTGATATTAAAAACAAACTCTCATTTAAATTATTTTAAAAACTGTGGGCGCTAGACGGGTTTTAGTGCTTTAGTTGATTGTGGACGTTAGAGTGGGCGTGGCACCCTCTCGAAACAAACTTGCGCTGCGCAAGAAGCTCACGAATCTACATTTCAAATCCCAATTCTTAGCTTTAATATTTTCCGAGATCACAGCGACCATACGGACGGAAAGACGGGAAAAATGACGGACGTGGCTAGATCGACTCGGCAAGTGATCCTGATCAAGAATATATATTCTATATAGGGTACCTGTTACATACTTTCAGACGAAGCTAGTTTACCCTTTTACTCTACGAGTAAACGTATTGTTTTAAAGTTATTAATTTTGGCGACAAAAAATTGGTCAGCCAGCCTATAGTGCATTGGATTACGTTTGTAAAGTTATTGTTGCATACTTTTGTGCGGAAGATTATACGTTAGAACAACCATTTATAATAGTAAAGTTCAATTTGTAAAATTACTAAACTGTCTGGGTTGGTCAGTTTTACCAACCAAATTATTATCTGTGTACTGAAAGCCTCTGTGTAAGTTCCAAAGTGCAATTTGAAAATGACTTATTTTATTATGCTTATAAATTACCGTGCTACAATGACGTATCTAGCAATTTTATTAATAATCTGATCAATTTTATAGGTATATATTTACTATAAAAAAATCACTTAACTAACTAACTAACTATAAAAATTGTTATTTAACTACAGTCCATGGAATGTGTCTAATCTACCCTTTCTTATAGTTACATAACAATTTTTATAGTAATCCTTACTATTGTGTATTACGTAATAAGTTGACAATTCGATGGTTGGGGACCGCTTTACTATTATATTGCTAAGTTTTTTCCAATCGATTTTTTTGGGTGTGTGTGGGCCGGTGTTCGTATCTGCATAATAAAGAATCTCCTAAACGTGCAATCGCTGACCATGATTGCGTTTAACACGAATTTACAACGCCCATAGCCATAAATTACGAATATATACATGTGCCTGGAGGCAATCCGTTCAATCCGACTCTGTCGAACGTCCAATTATATCTTGCCCTATTTCTTACCCTAAGGCTGTGATTATCTTTCACGCTTGCTGAGCGCTCAGTTGTACGATTGCCGTTTCCGGATCCGCAATCCCACCTCCCGACTCAAGCCGATACGAAATCCTTCGAGTGGAAGAAGGCAGTTTCAAGTCGCAATAAAATCCGTTTATCCCCCGAAAAGAAGGAGAGGCTGAACCTGACGCCCGACTAATACCGATAAGGAGAGTGACTTCTTATTCCAAGGCGGGCTTATGCTGGCTACTGCCAGCTTGCGAGGGTGCCTGACTTTCTCCGCTCACTGTTTCGGTGGCCCGATGTTGTTTAAATATCGATTTGATAGTAGATTGCCAGCTATAGTTGCCATTTGGCTAGCTGCTATTGATTTTAAATTCGTAACCTATTTATTTTGATTGTGGCCTACGAGTGCGCGTCTCGACATTTCCCAAATGAAATTCAATCAAGTTTCAGTTCGTAAGACTTTTCCGGAAAGTAAAATAAGTCGGAGCTCACTTGAGTCAGACACCTTGATGCATTTGTCGGACATTAAATCAACTATTTACGGGAAAAGATCTTGAAAATGTCTGATGTATTCCGTGAAGACCTTCCTTAATTAATTAATGGAAAGAGAGTTCAAAGCATTATTGCCCGCCCAGAGGTAGAACGTTGTACCCATTTTGCAGCCAGAAAACGGGCATTGTATAAGAACATATGCTTGACCACGTTGTTTGGCGCTGGGCTTCTCATTAATGACCTCCGCCCTTGGCCTACAACCATTGACCCCAGGCTGAAACAGCTGCCAATCTGTCTCAGTGAGGAAGGGTAATTGTTGGCAAGTGGCCCTCTTGCCCAGACTTAATAGTTCCCACAAATGTGTTGATGAATTTAATGGGAATAAATACAATTTCACACGTAGTCAAGCACATGTAATCGTTAGGGTCCTGTCTATCTATGATTTTCTCTTTTCTCTTTTTTGTGGGATTAACCTTAAAACGAACTCTATTCAAAAGGAATCGGTGTAACTTTTGTTGAAGAAAAAACTTTTTTGATTTGTGTTTGAAAGTCTTCTCCTTTCCTGTTCTAAATAAATTTACTCCGCCAGTCAATTAGTTAAAAAAACGTCAAATAGCTGCTAGCAACAACAAAAAATTTATAGGTATTCTTTTCTCTAAATCAGGAAACTTTTCTTGGCATGGAAAAACTTTTGAATAATTTTTTTTCATGAGCGAAAGTAGAAGTAAAAGTTCCGCCAAAGCCGAGCCCTTGGACATGCAATTTAATTTAAGTGGCTTTCCCAGGGGATCGGTTTCATCGGAGCCATTAACAAGAGAAATAATTAATCCTGACTATCCAGACACGCCTAGGAGTCAAAAGGCGACGATTGATCTTAGTCGACAAAAATTGCATTTTTAATTTTCCCCTTAATGGTTTTAGTAGGTCTATACCACTTCGACCCTTTTAGGGTGTCATAATTTGGTGGTGCGACCGTAAAACGTATCTGTTCTTAGTGGCTGGCAAGGTAAAAACATTTATTTATGACTTAGGATTTTGTGCGAGCTGAGAACTGAGGATACAAGCAAATGAAACGTTTGCACCCTGCTGCCAATGTCTTACAGGGGCTTGGGCTCCCCGCGAACCACCGCCTAGTCATCGACAAAGTCAGATATTATGTGTTATAACCAGCGATTTATTACATTGTTGTCACTGCACAGTAACTGTTTTCAGTAATTAAGGCGCTAAAAAATTTCATGACGTTTTTCGAGGTTTGTTGTTGCTAAACATTTCTGTTAGAAGTCGCAGCGAAACACTTTCTGACACTTCTTTTTCTCACACTTAACAGGTAGCTAAAATGTGTTTTTAATACTTTATTGATTTGGGGTAGTTACTCACGTAGAACAATAAGGCGTATTTTATAGGCTTTGATATCGCTCCTGAAGTACGACCATATCATATTGTTTTTGCCCCTTCTCGTCCGCCTGAGGCATTACAAAAAATACGTATATACGTATTAAAAAACAAGGAAGAACGCTATAGTCGAGTACCTCGACTATCAGATACCCGTTACTCAAAGGGAAATGGAGATATGCAAGCAGCAAAGCGAGATTAAAATGCGCCACCTACCGGCGGTAGACAGATTTAAGCGTTATGGGCGTTAGAGTGGGCGTGGCAAATTTATTTTTGAATCAATCGATAGGTATTGACGACACCAATACATTTCAGTTAAAATTTTTTATCTAGCATGCAAATTGAGGGCGTCACAGGTTTTCGCGGTTTGTGGGCGTTTAAGTGGGCGTGGCAGTCTACTGAAACAAACTTGCGCTGCGTAAGAAGCTCAGGAATCTGTACGCCAAATCTTAATAGCCTAGCTCTCATAGTTTCCGAGATCTCAGCGTTCATCCGGACAGACAGACGGACAGACGGACAGACGGACATGGCTAGATCGACTCGGCTAGTGATCCTGATCAAGAATATATATACTTTATGGGGTCGAAACGCTTCCTTCTGCCTGTTACATACTTTCCGACGAATCTAGTATACCCTTTTACTCTACGAGTAACGGGTATAAATAGTATAGACAGTTTTATATTCAAGTGCGTGATAGAGCGCTTTTCCGGGAAAAATTGCATTTTGACAGTTATAAAACAAAATTTTTCAAAATTCTCAAAATTAATAAGTATGTATAAAAGAAGTTGACGGCGCAAAAATTGCAATCAACGGGATCGATGATATTTCCGCCATTTTGCTTTTTCTGACATAAAATAATTTTTATTTTGCATGTAATACCTTTTAATTTATATGCGAATGTGATCTGTTTTTTTTTCTGCCATAATAAAAGTGGATGTTCGGAGCAGATCGCCAGCGCCTAGTCATGCGCGCATAGGTGTACGGGCACCTGCAGCGCTCTTTGCTTATCTCTTGTCGCCTTCTTTCTTATACCACTAAAGCTGTCGCTTATCTATTCAGCAACTACTTTGTAAGCCTGCATATATCTATATGAAGATCTTGGAGCCAAGCTTAATCACAGTCCGTTTGCCGCTCCGAATAAACGCTATACGTTTAGTATAACCTATTCGTGCGTTATTAATTATAAATATAAGGGTGGCATATTTGTTGTCTTCCCCACAAACAGTGGAAAAAGTACCTTTTTTAATGGTACTAAAGGTATCCCACCCTTAATACACTTGCGTCTGTTAATTGTAGTTGTGGCAACGCTGTGAAATGTGGCATATCGGTTAATCATTCGATGGTTCTTCTTAGTAGGCAAGCCTAGCAAGAAAGGCGGGCTTAAAGCTAATCTTGGCACGCCTTAAGGTTAAAATTAGAGCCCAACATTGAAGCATTGGACGGGGCCCAACAGCAACTCATTATGCTTCATGCAGCTCTGATTAAAAATATTGGGTGTGCCTCGAGACACGCCAGCCTTGGACATATTTAATGTGGGCTGAAAGGTCTGAGAGTTATGCAAATTGGGTCCTGTCCATTCAACGCGAAACACATTATTCAAATTATGCGCAATCGCTGCGTAGACAACGCTGCGTGCTCAGATACTTATGGCGGCAGAGACAAGTTATGGATGAAACACACTGCCTCGCCTGCAGGTATACTCATTAGTCGGCATTGAATTTGATTGAATGCGGGCCTGCTCTTGCACTTTAGCGATCAGCAAAAGACATCGGCAAAGTTGCCCTTGAGTAAAATGACAGTTTAGTGGAAGTGCCTACGCACCCTTAATGTTTCGATTAATAAACTTCTCTCACGATCCTGAGAAACTCCATAAATCGCTCTCGTGTATCAAGTAAATTATCAGTATGTCCAAGAGGGTGAGCATCATGTTTCCGGAGGAAATGCCTGCGGCTCCATCGGGCAACAGCAGACACCCGATGTCCAACCGCACTGTAAAGAGCTCCATCAAGAACGGCTTCGGCGTTCGGAAGGAACTTGAACCGCCCGTGTTTGTAGTCGTCAGTCCTCATGGTAGTCGGAGCTCGATGACCTCCAGACAGCAGGAGAGTACGCGGACGTATAGCCGCAGTTCCTTCAGCCAACCAGTCGAGTGGGGTTTCGAAGAAAGCGCAGCAGCCCCGAAAAGCAGCGACATGGTTCAAAGTGGCTCGGCAAACTCCCAGCAGTCACCCAATGTCGAATCGACCACCACCTCGATCAAGGAGTTCCTCAGGAGCACAGTTGCTCTTGTCAAAGCGGGCGAGTCTTTCACGTCTGTGAAGCGGCTTTTCCATAAGTTCATCAAAAGCAACGGCTCTATCTCGATCCCCAAGCCATCGCTGGTACTCGCTGATTCCTCATCCTCTCAGGTCGTAAGTGGGGAAAATCCCTACCTTAGCAAATCAAACGACACGCTTCTAAGCGACATGCCGATCCAGTTTACCGGGCCCAGCTCCTCGCAAATGACACCGACCATTCACCATTCCAACTACTCCTTCAAAAACGAAAGTTACGACATCACAAGCCTCCTCTCCGACATCACCCCGCTGACGGGCTACTCGCCCAGGACCACCTTGGCCAGCACTGAAGCTGGATACCCAACCAATGCTTTGGCACACAGTGCGTTGCAAGGCGTGCGGTCTGAGCCACCTTTGGAAGGCGCAACGCCCGGCAGTCACTCGAAGTCGAGGAGTCCCAGTCCTCTCAAATTCAAGACAATGCCTTCTCAAATTAAGTTTGCGGGCTCCCCAAGGCGCTACCTCACGAAAACCCGCTCAAGCAGTAGATCTCTTCGCACGAAAATGAGGGCTTCCCCCGTTAGTTCACCCAGAATGTCGCCTAACTTGTCACCCCAAATCGAGCAGGCCGGGCCTGCAGTACAAGCCATTTTTGCCTTGGTAAGTTCTTCCGGGCCCAACTCCGAGGGATCGCGGCTATCGAGCCAGTCGAGACGGAGAAGCATCCGAAGGCCATCGCCGAACGTGACGGGCTCCGCCAGCTCTGGCTCGAGGCCGGACCTAGCCAACTCGACCAAGTCAATATCCGGTACCGAACACTTCCCCGGAAAAAGGAGTTCGCGCCGCAGCTCTCCCAGAAGCTCCGGCAGAGGCTTCCGAAACAGCACTTCGCAGCGAGAGAGGAGCAAGATGGCCGTCTCCAGGGAGGAGGGAGCCTTCGCTCTGGTGAGTCCCGAGGAGGTGAGGACCAGCGAGCTAGCAGAGGGCTGCGGCGGGGACGTCGAGGAGGCCTCGACCAGCTGCCGGACGTACCAGGAGCAGTGCAACTGCCACCACTGCCAGGACATGCGTCGCGCGGTCAGGAGGGCCGACTTCTTCCAGTCGCCCGAGGGTCAGAGGCGACTAGAAGCCAAGCTGCTGGCCAAGAATTTCTTTATGGACCTCTGCGCCCTGGCGGCGGTGCGCCGTCAAATTGTTGCCGAGATGCACGGGGCGCGCCGGCATCCTTCCTCGCGGGTCAGTTTCCCAGTGAGCATCTACGGAGCAGCGCGCCTGGACGGGGGCTCGCTGTCGCTGCAGTGGCTTACCCACGATCTGGACAGCGTGGACCACTTTGACATATTTGTGGACGATGTGCCCAGCCGGAGTGTTTACAACCGGCTAGCGACCTGCACCGTGCTCGTCGACGTGGACGCCGCCGAGACGCACAGGCTGCGTATGCGGGCGGTGCCGGAGCGGGGGACCGGTGGTCTGGACTCCTCGGTGGAAAAGTTCATGTCTGAGGTGGCCGCCGGACACATGCGGCATGTGAGGCAGGGCCAGCTGTTCGCCAGGTGTTTCGAGCACTTGGACGCCCTGCCGCAGCAGCGAACGGTCGTGGATTTCTGGAGGGACAGCGAGTTTCTGTACATGCCCCCTCGCGACTCCTCTCCTTCTACGGAGGGTCGCTGACTGGCCAAAAAAAAACTGATTTCTGGCTGGTAGTGGGTGTGAGGCGCAGCAGGCCTCCTCGTCCGGAACAAGTGGCCTGGGCGGCAACCTCTACCTGTACTCCGGCCTGGAGGGCCCATCAGAAAGCGAGGTGCGCAGACAATTTAGCTGCCGCCGTTACTAAAAATGTAATTTAGTCTGGGCCCTCGTCAGCTTTCAGCGTCCTGCGATTATCGCTGGCCCGCATACAGCTGTCCTGCATTTTACTTCGTGTGCACTTGTACTGACTTAGGAGCTTCACGCATGCTGAATTATTTGGGAATGCCTCGCTCCCTGCTCGGCTGGCATGGCTATTGAAATGGGTGAAAATCAGAAAAATATATGCGCACTCGCACTTTAATGGGAAGGAAGAGGGGCAGTGGAAAGCCAAGCCATTGAGTATTTTAATTAATTACTCGTAGAGTAAAAGGGTATACTAGATTCGTCGAAAAGTATGTAACGGGTAGAAGGAACCTTTTCCGACCCCATAAGGTATATATATTCCTGATCAAAACCACTAGCCAAGTCGATCCAGTCATGTCCGTCACTCCGTATAAACGCTGTGATCTCGGAAACTGTTACGGCTGCACTACTGGGATTAGGCATGCAGTCACGCCGACTAACGTCCACAAACCAAACCAAATAAAGTTTTCCAACCCCACTTTAACGCCCACAAACTTCAATAAATCGTACATATGAACGCGAAGATTGGGATTTCAGAATAAGATTCCGTAGCTCTGTACGCAGCGCAAGTTGGTTTACAGGAATATGCCACGCCCTCTCTAACGCCCACAAGCCGTCCACAATTTGTATGCTAGAAAAAAATGTTAACTTAAATGTGTTGCCACGTCCTTCGTATACTTACTCGTAGAGGTATACAACTATAGCGTTCTTCCATTTTTCTTTAGCCATTTCTTTATTATTAATTTAGCCAAAGTGGTTTTTAAATGTGCTTTCCCGAATCTTAAGGCTTACCCGCCATAACTGCATTTAATTATACCCGTTACTCGTAGAGTAAAAGGGTATACTAGATTCGTCGGAAAGTATGTAACAGGCAGAAGGAAGCGTTTCCGACCCCACAAAGTATATATATTCTTGATCAGGATCACTAGCCGAGTCGATCTAGCCATGTCCGTCTGTCCGTCTGTCCGTCTGTCCGTCTGTCCGGATGAACGCTGAGATCTCGGAAACTATGGGAGCTAGGCTATTGAGATTTGGCGTGCAGATTCCTGAGCTTCTTACGCAGCGCAAGTTTGTTTCAGCACAGTGCCACGCCCACTCTAACGCCCACAAACCGCCCAAAACTGTGGCTCCTACAGTTTTGATGCTAGAATAAAAATTTTAACTGAAATGTATTGTTCTCATCAATACCTATCGATTGACCCAAAAAAAAGTTTGCCACGCCCACTTTAACGCCCACAAACCGCGAAAACCTGTGACGCCCACAATTTTCATGCTAGATAAAAAATTTTAACTGAAATGTATTGGTCTCGTCGATACCTATCGATTGATCCAAAAAAAAATTTGCCACGCCCACTCTAACGCCCATAACGCTTAAATCTGTATACCGCCGGTAGGTGGCGCATTTTAATCTCGCTTTACTACTTGCATATCTCTATATAGCTGAGTAACGGGTATCTGATAGTCGAGGTACTCGACTATAGCGTTCTTCCTTGTTTTGTTATAAATAAATGTAAATAGTTCAACAATTTTCTTCTATATTTATGAGTACAATAAAATAAAGAGCTAGAAAATCGTAAAATAGCTACCCACATTTAATGGTAGGCGTATGGCCATGGGCACTGCTGCACAATAATCTGCATGCCAAGTCCCAACATTTAAGCTTTTAAGAAGGAAAAATTATATTATATTATTAAATCGAATATGTTTCGACTTGCTGCATTCTTTTTGAGTTATCGAAAGGGAAGCAGGCGATTCAATTTATGCGAACCGAAATCCATTGTCCAAAGAATCAGATGACCCGGGCACATTTTGGAAAAGACGATGCACAGTGTTAGAAGCAATTTCACAAATAAATCTAACAATAATTGTACAATAATATATTAACTAAGTAACACAATTAAAAACAAAAGTTAAAGTTAAAGTAAAGTTAAAGTTATTAGTGCTTTTTTTTTACATCCCATACAAATGTCTATATGAAGTGACAGCTGATATGGCTCCGATGATTCACGGGTAGAAAAATGATTAAGCATTTATATTTGCCTTAATGTAGGAATGCAATTTCAATTTGAGAAGAAGAAAATTGATTTCTAATATAAAATTTGTTTTGCCTTTAAAGGAAATGTGTTAAAGCTGTTTAAGATTTGGAAATGAAATATACTTGTATTTTGGTAAAAAGATATCAATAGGTATTATAAAGTAATCGTATTTAAACGAATCTCATTTCCCCCGTCAGTTACAAATGCATAACACTGTGGACGGCAGTCCACGTAGTGACGAAGCGCACCAGGGGAGTGTGCGAATGCCACAACTACGTATACACGAAGACATAAAAATCGACTGTGATAATCCGATCGAAACGAGTTGTACATCAATCGAAAGGTATCGCAAAAACTAAAATGACTGCATACCAAGACTTAAAAAAATCAATTGGTTTGGGAGACAGAGCGGTGAAAGTGTAAAAGTGAAACATAAGAAAATTTGACTTGTTGGGACCGTTTGGGAATTAATGCACAAGTTGTAATTTCATTTGTAAAAACCGTTCAAAAGTAATACGCAAAAAAAGATTTTGAAGGTCTTCCCAAAATGAACGTTTTATTTTGTTTACTTAGAAAGGTATTTTGAAATACTTTGTACGCCCCTCTAAGATAATTTGTCTATACTTAGCTTTTTGTTTGATTTGTCAAAAACGGCTTTAATGATTTTTGTTTAATCCTCAAAGTGTATAGCCCTTGAGATTGCTGAACTTTATACCTAAGACACGCTGTTGTAAAAAGTCACGTTTTTTAAGTTATTATTCAACAAAAATTGACATATTCCCTAGTTCGTACATCTAACACTGCCTGAGATTTTTACTTTCTTTTCATATTCAAACTTTTTATTAATGTCCTAAAAAATCTTTGATGGTGTTAAATATTATTATAAGAATCTTTATTTCTAATACTTTTTGAACAACTTGCTAGTTTGGCGGAAAAGCAGCTATAAGTATCTAAATTTCGTACGCCCATAACTTGTAAATTTGTAAAGCTACATGCTTGTGCTATACGTATGTCGATGGATAGGTGTATTGAAATACTGTGTACGCCTTGCTAACATGATTTGTCTAAATACCATCGTTTAAAAATGATGTGCATACTTTTTATTTCGATTTTTTAGTTTTTATTTATTTTTTAAAAACCGTTTCAGCTAAAACTTTAAGCAGTACAGCTCTTGAGATTCCTCATCTTTGGTCAACATTGTGTATTTCTATTTAGGGTCTATTTAGGGTCATGGAATAATTTGAGCTGCTACTAACAGTTCCATATAAGAAACTTGAACTCTACGGCTTTTAAAAAAGAAGATTAATTATATGATTGATGCTTAAAATAAAAACTTCTGATATCAAACAAAAACACCTCTTAACGAGATAAAATTCTCGTGACGATCGCACCTTTAACAAACAAAAGTTCTGATATCAAGTTTTGCGATAAAAGTTTCTAAATTTCTAAATTTCTAATTGTTTAACATTTGAGACCGTGACAGCAAGAGAAAGACAATGGACAAAGCGGAATGGGGAAAAATTGGGTATAGATGCCTCATAGATGCCTTTGGGGTCGCCTATTGTACCAATTTGTACTTAGCACGCGCCTCCGAATTATTTCAGGGGCAACTTTCGGTTTTTACGGACCTTTTTTATTACTCAAGTATAGATATTACAAATGCATAAATTTGTGTTAGTTAATCGACACAGCGCATTACCGATTTCGTTGGAAATTACAGCATGAAAAAACACAAATAGCGAAGGGCTTTTATCAAATGCAACTAGCGGAGCAAGTCTTCCAATTTGTCGTCTCTTTTCACGTCACTCATTAACTTCAATCGTACACCTTGCACCAAAACTAATTCCAGCGAAACAGGGACGCTGCTCATTTCGATAACGTCGTGATAAGTGAGGAGCCTCAGGACCGAGATTGCTTTAGACTTGATATCGAGAAGATAAAGTAGGAAGACAGCATTCTCAAGCTCAGAAGATTTGGTTTTTATCATTCTCAATTTCTCTGGGCGCAGGTAACAAATCTAAAATCCATTTTTTACCCAAGTTTCGATGTGTATTTTTGTACCCGTTACTCCTAGAGTAAAAGGTTACATTGAATTCCGGGAAAAGTATGTTATAGGTAGAAGAAAGCGTTGCCGACCGCGTAAAGTATACTACTGTGGGTGAAAAGCAAGGTGAATTTGTTTGTAAAATAAACATGGAAGAACGCTATAATCGAGTACCTCGACTATCAGATACCTGTTACGCAGCTTAAGGGACCAAAGGGAAATGAAGATATACAAGCAGCAAAGCGAGATTGAAATGCCCCATTTTTTTTGGGTCAATCAATAGGTGTTGACGAGACTAAAACATTTATATTAAAATTTTTTATCCAGCATGAAAATTGTGGGCGCCTTGGGATCTAAAATCCCAATTCTCTATCTTTCATAGTTTCCGAGATATCTGCCTTCATACTTACGATTTTTGAAGTTTGAGGGCGGTAAAGTGGGCGTGGAAAATTTCATTTTGGGTTACTCTACGAGTAACGGGTATTCAAATTGTTTGTTATTTATTTGTTATACCTGTTAGTCGTAGAGTAAAAGGGTATACTAGATTCGTCGGAAAGTATGTAACAGGTAAAAGGAAACGTTTCCGACCCCATAAAGTATATATATTCTTGATCAGGATCACTAGCCGAGTCGATCTAGCCATATCCGTCTCTCTGTGTGAACGCTGTGTTCTCGGAAACTACAAGATCTCGAGAGAGTGGGACTTTAGATATAGATTCCTTAGCTTCGCGTGCAAGATCAAGTTAAATGCAATTCAAATATGAAGCTTTAAACATATTACTTGTCACCAATGAGCTTACACTTACGAGCAAGAAGAAAATTCGATTCGGTACACAAGAGGCTAAGGTTTTCAGCTTCATTAGTTAAAGTCCCTTATGGCCTGTCCAAAATAAATTGAATAAAAGTAGTACGGGAAGCCTAGTGAGCATAAGGAATTAAAAATACTTTCTGCAACGCTAAGGGGAAAATTAGTTAAGCCCGCACAATGCACTATGGGGAAAATGACCACTTTATCTGGCATTTATTATTGTGAGTAAACCAAAAGAGATTTTTCACTGCGGTTTTTTTTATTATGTTGTTATAGACCATAAGAACCTATTTTAGAAAAATGGGCGTGTCAACGCCCCTTTTGCCCAAAAAATCGAAAAAATAATATTTTACATGCATTTTTAGATATTAACTTTTCAAATTCAGTAACCTCTACGTGCTTACGTTGTAGATAGGAGTTTCGCCACGCCCCCTCCCGCCCTAAAAATTGTGAAAACCCAGTTTTTAATTAATTTTCTTTATTTTCATCATTTTCTTCATTTTCCAGCTCGAAGTTTTCAAGAAAAAATAGACTGTTGTCTTCAAGCTCATCTTGTTCTGAAAAATCACTTATGTATTCGTGCTCACACGAGAGCAGCTGGATAACCTCAATGGGAAGGGAAAGATTTTTATGTTTTTTTATGCGTCGCGATAAATTTAGGGAAGAAATCACTGGATCTGATGTATCCAAAGCTCGTTTAAACACATCGCCTAAAGATTCAAATCGACTGTGCTTTCTGGAGTGATGAAGTCTATCCGATTTATAAATTTTGTTGCGGGACTCAGACGCTTCTTCACCAAAACAGCCGACTGGAAGCACCGTATTTTCCATGATTTGCCTTGAGTGCACAATAATTTTATGGAGTGTTGGTGTCATGGGGAGCCATGGATAACTGTCCACAATCATTTCGCCAGTTTGGTGACAGTATGCCTCGAATTTTTCTAAGTTTATTGGCAATTGACAAGACAAACATATCAAAATGATCCTCAAATTGTAGATTATTTGTTGATCAACTCCAGTTATTTCGGAAAATTTTTTGAAGTTGGCAAACGCGCGACGTGCAGTGTTTCCGGTATTTGTATTTCCAAAACCCCCCTGCTTCGGCTTATCGACTTTCAAAGCCAGTTTTGCCCAAAACATTTCCTGTATACTTGCCTTTCGTTTTAGCATCGCTTGCTTGTCAACTGGTCTGTTACTTTTTTTTAAAGGCAAAGTTGTGTTGCCTTTCATCCATGTGGAATGTTTTGTTTCGAAGTTCTTATAAGAGCTATGACATTTAAGCCAGTTGTAATACAAATTGTTGCAAAATTGGTGACTTTTATGTTTTAAAATATTATCATCCACATTATTGCACGCATGCAGTTCAAAATATCTTTGAACGGCCTTCTCTCGCTCGTGCCGGCCCCTCTCGCTATTCCACACTGCAAACAAGTCGACGTTGGAAAAAGTGAGGTTACCTAATAAAAATGCAAATTCCGCCAAAATATGGAAAAATATGACATTAGGACCAATTCCTGTAAACTCAGAATTGACAACGCTACAACAATCACTTGGACAAACACTTAAACAATTCTAAACTCTCTTAGATAATCCTTTCCAAAGTTGAAATTTGTTTCTAAAAATTCAGCTAAGGAAGCTCTTAGAAAACTGCAAAATATTAGTATACACACGCACAATTTTAACGATTTAGTACATTTAACACACAGTGCAAACCTGCGAGATCAGCATTCATGTTTTGGTTTTCCTCTAGTTGTTGTTCCATCATTAAATATTAAAATCCAAACTCAGCGTACAAATTCACACAACTTAGCCGCACGTGCTTTCGATTGCAACAGCTGACTTAACAGCCGTTTTTCTAACAGGGGACTGTTAAATTTAACATTTTGAGTTTGGGGCATAACAGTCTGATGTTTTCTTAATGCGTTAACAGTAAAATTGTCGTAATTAGAAAACTTTTAAAAAACATGCAAATGCCAGATAAAGTGGTAATTTTCCCCATAGTGCAATGGTAGCCTCCAAAAAAACTGAATCGGAATATTTATGTAAATTAATCATTTGTTTTTTTGTTGACATCTTTCCTTTGCATCGCCCAGCAATCGTTAGCTGAGAACGGAAACGCGAAACACACAGTGTTGCCTGGAAAGGGGGTGGAGCCATTGTGTGGAACACGAAAAAGAATAAAAGATACATGATACAAACGTGTTTTTCATCGTCAATCTTCAAGAACAAGAGGGAAACCGAATGGAGAACAACGGAGGGGTATAGGGGGTCTGTCTTTTCCGACCTGACCGGTGCCAATAACACTTTAACATACTTGCGCTGCGTACAGGGCTACTGATATTATATCTGAGATCCCATTTCTCTATCCTTTATAGTTTCCGAGATATCCGCGTTCATATTAACGATTTATTGAAGTTTGTGGGCGTTAAAGTGGGCGTGGCAAACTTTTTTTGAATCAATCGATTGGTATTGATGAGGCCAATACATTAGAGGCGTTAGAGTGGGCGTGGCACATTTCTGAAACAAAATTAGGCGTTAGAGTGGGCGTGGCACATTTCTGAAACAAAATTGCGCTGCGCAGGAACGTCAGGAATCTGCATGCCAACCCCTGAATTTTTCCTATGGAAATTATAGTGGAATCAAGCACCACATGTCTGACGGTCCGACTGGGTTGTGATCAGGGGTAGGTGGCTCATTTCAATCTCGCTTTTCTGCATGCATATCTCCCTTTAGCTGAGTAACGGGTATCTGATAGTCGAGGTACTCGACTATAGCGTTCTTTATTGTTTGGTTAATAAGTCCGTTAATTAAAGTCCGATCGCAACAAGTGATATCTATCTTTTTTCAGATTGTAAAATAGCAGAGGGTTTTGTAATATTAGCTCTTTAATCAAGCTAAATCGGAAAAACATGTTTTTTTGCGAATATCTTAAGAACGATTCTTTGCAAAATTGTGCGGTCAATCAAAAATTCGTTCTTCATTTATTTGGTTCCGATGTGACAAAATTGGCAAAAACATTCAAAGTCCTTAAGTTATTTTGGATTTTAAATTTATCATTCGCCTGAGACAAGAGTGAAAAACTGAAAGATAAGTGTCAGACTCGTAACAACCGCAATCGGTGATTGCAGACCCGTCAAGTTATCATTTTTTAGGCGCAGAATGCGGTAAAAATCACCCAGAGGGTGAATCGCAGGAAATGAGTAATATCTTCTTATGAGACAGGTGAGTCCTGTCGCCGGTGGAAAAAACCAACTGATTCACATCATTAAGTGTCGAGTCTCGGAAATTGACCGCTCGTCTAATGAAATCCTTCCCCGCGCTTCCTGGGCTTAACTTCTTCACTTACTTAACAGCCTAGTTCACCATCTGCACGGCTGGCTGGAGTGGTTATTGAATTTCATTCAGTGCTGGCACGATGCATCCTAATGACACTGGAATACAGGACTGGAACAGCCGTCAAAGGAAATATTCAGGGTGAATGGAGACCAGAAAGATAACAGCTGGGTCAAATCACAAGAAATATTAGCTAATTAAGAGTCTGAGATTCCTGTGCAAAAGGAGGACCAAGCTAATGACCGCTTTATGGAACTCATTTACGCAATGAATGATTTGCAAATGGTTCTGTTGCATATTCATCAGCCTAAATATGCTGGACAAGCAAGCTCATCTTCACCGCAATCCGAGCAGGAGCTGAAGTCCTGTGCTTTGCTGCCTTCCGGCCATTAATAAACAGCGCCAACATTAATCAGTTGTATATATCAAATAATTTCGGCTGCTGTTCAAAAAACAATGTAAACAAACAATGTAAAATTTGAAACATAATCTAAAATGCTCACTTTAATATAACGCAATCGTCTTTTCTTTAAAGGCTACGGTCAGAAACGGAACTGCAGAACAAAACTGATAGGAATGTTGAAAGCATTTAATGATTTCATCAATAAATTAAGTTTGAGATTTTTCGGGAAGCTTACAAAGTATACTTCGGCTCTCGTAAATTGTTCGTTTTCGGAATAAGTGGAGACCGAATAAGACGCAATGTGGCTGAAGGTGCTGACGACAAACTTAAACACTTTAAACGCTGTCCCCACTAATATTGTAAAGCAACATTTTTTTTAAATAACTATTTTTTTTTATTATTTTTCTGACCGTTTCTTTGATAGCAATATGTTAGAGTCGTCCGATTTGTATTAAACCTAATTCGAAATTCTTAAAAATTGACATAATCTTATTCCTAATAATATAAGATAATGTGTCAAAAACACCGAAGCTATAATTTGTTTCATATTATTTTCCCACCAATTTTCCGATCGTTCCTATGGCAGCTATATGATATAGTCGTCCGATTTTGATAAAATTAGATTCAAAATTCAGAACTTATTTAAAAAATGTTATTTCCATGCGTAGGAGGTTATATGTTAAAAAACACGAAAGCTATAATTTGTTTCAAATTATATTCCAACCAATTTTTCGATTTCCTATGGCAGCTATATTTTTAGTCGTTCGATTTTGATAAAACTAAATTCGAAATTCAAAACTAATTAAAAAATGTTATTTTCAAGCTTAGGAGGCTATGAGTTAAAAACACCAAAGATATATTTTTTAAAATTTTGTTTTCCGATTATTCCTATGGGAGCTATGAGATATAGTTGTCCCATCCGGCTGGTTCCGACTTATATACTACCTGCAAAAGATGTAAGACTTTTGGAAAGGTTTAAGCCCGATAGCTTTAAAACTGAGAGACTAGTTTGCGTAGAAACGGACGGACAGGCGGACATGGCTAGTTCGACTCGTCTAGTCATGCTCATCAAGAATATATACACTTTCTGGGGTCGGAAACGTCTCCTTCACTGCGTTGCAAACTTCTGACTGAAATCAATATACCCTCTGCAAGGGTATAAAAAGTATTACCAATCTTAATAGCTAAACAATAATTAGTTTTGTAAGTTATCTGTGTAATAAATAGTAAGATAAAAAAGAAAATTACAGATTTTATTTTAAAGAAATTAAACAAAATATTAAATTACCAATAATTTCTGCTTTAGGTAAAGTTTTTTGCAGTTCTTTGCTGCTGGAACTATGAATATTTGATTCATAGTAGAGAGTTATTTTTCCCTTAAAACTCAGCTCCATCGAGAGTTTTCACATCCTTACGCCGAGAAAGATGGGTTTTATTTCATTTTTCGATGACGAGATTCCAGTCTGAGATCTTCCTCAAATTTCGTCGAAATCTAGCAGTTTCCACTTTTTGTTTGGATCTCAACAGGAACCTCCCAGATTTTATCCAGTTTTATACGCTAAGTTATAAGTTATTCTTTAATTTAAAATCTACTTTGCCAAATTCTTACTTTTAACAAGGGGGAACGCTAGTACCTCGACTATCAGATACCCGTTACTCAGCTAAAGGGACCAAAGGAATATGGAGATATGCAAGCAGTAAAGCGAGATTGAAATGCGCCACCTACCCGCGATATCAATATATGGTTATGTGGGCGGTAGACAAATTTAGGCGTTATGGGCGTTAGAGTGTGCGTGGCAAACTTTTTAAGGGTCAATCGATAGGTATTGACGAGACAAATAACATTTTTAACATTTTAACATTTTTTTCTAGCATGAAAATTGTGTGCGTCACAGGCTTAGGCGGCTTGTGGGCGTTAGAGTGGGCGTAGCATCTTCCCGTAACAAACTTGCACTGCGTACAAGGCTACGGAACCTAAATCTGAAATCCCAATTCTCTACCTTGTATAGTTTCTGAGATATCCGCGCTCATATGTACGATTTCTTGAAGTTTGTGGGCAGTTTGTGGGCGTTAAAGTGGGCGTGCCAAACTTTTTTTTGGTTTAATCGATAGGTATTGATGAAGACAATACATTTCAGTTAAAATTTTTATTCTAGCATCAAAACTGCAGGAGCCACAGTTTTGGGCGGTTTGTGGGCGTTAGAGTGGGCGTGGCACTTTGCTGAAATAAACACGCGCTGCGTAAGAAGCTCAGGAATCTGCATGCCAAATCTCAATAGCCTAGCTCTTAAAGTTTCCGAGTTCTCAGCGTTCATCCGGACGGACGGACAGACGGACATGGCTAGATCGACTCGGCTAGTGATCCTGATCAAGAGTATATATACTTTATGGGGTCGGAAAGGCTTCCTTCTGCCTAGTAGACCCTTTTACTCTACGAGTAACGGATATAAAAATGTATTTATTTCTACGTTTTTTACTTACCTATGACTTTGTCAGGAACGGTAAACGCACGCTGTGTGTGGGTAGATGTGTTGCAGCAAATGTACACATGTATATGTCGTAGGGCACGCTCAACATTTTTTGGCTGAGATATATGTATACGTACATACGTTTGTGCGAACCAAAAATCTTAATCCACTTAATAATTAACACAAACTTTACTTTAGTTAGATTTCTGTTTATCCACTACGTGCATACTTACGTATGTATATGGATGCGTGTGACGGTACGCGCTAATTTGTTGGATTCTACGATAACGCAGTTCGGGTGAAACAATTTGATAATTTCAATTTAATTTTTATATGTAAATATTTATGTTTAGGCTATTTTGACTTTAACAAAGGTCCGAAGGTCCAAAGGTCTTTGCAATTATGAAATGGCACGCGTCGTGCTCCGTTAAAGAAGGGGAATCAATTGTACATACAAGTTATCCAACTCATGATCCCAGCCTCTTTACCCAATTTATAAACAAACTCTTCATATACAATTCTTAGCTGAGAACGCTTTCCAGCTCGAGCGCCCAGCCGACTTACCAAAGTCCTAAACAATTTCTTATAAACAGTTCTTAGCTGGGATCCCCTTACTCAGCGTTCCCACAGAATCCCAATTAGCTCCCCACTTCAATCGAAGTTAATTATTAAGATTCAATTGCTGGGTCCAGCTAATGTAAGCACAAGCATCCGGTCAACACCCGGCGAGCCCCAAAACTGCAGCGTAATCCGTTTGGCAATTGAGCAGAGAATTTGATCATCCGATTTCCCGACTCTCT